TTTCTGGACATGTACAGATATGGTCATTTTCTTCTGTTTTGGGGGCATCTTCAGGGGTTATCTGTGGGCTTAATATTTAAATGGGTGTGTATTTTGGTATTTTTTATGCTTTCTGATTGTCTCTAGGTAGATGTGATCAGGATATGGGCTTCCCTTTATACTCTTCTTCTTGAGAAATTTCAAAATGCCACTTTTGGTCGTTTTGATGTAACTTAGAATTTAATTTTCAGCCATTTCCTTTCTTGTCTGCTTGTCCCTCTCTACAATCCCCATTCAGGCCTTTTTTCTAGTTGTAAACAATTCAGGTCCAGCTGTGGCCATTTGGTTTTAAGTGGAAACTGTCTCTTTAAATTTTGAGTAGATCTGTGTGCATGCATATTACAAACCTCCGAGGGTGGGACTGGGGTATCTACTAGCTCAGGCACTCCTATAGTCACCAGAATGGAGGTGCTCAGACAGCAAGGGACCAATGAACAGATACCAAAAGAAAAGAATGTCCACACCTTTATCCCCACAGTTCTGCCAGGCATCTGTGGCCACTCCGATCCTTCCCTCGCTTGGTCTCACCCAAGATGGTGGCTCCTGGAGCAGCTGAGCATCCCGAACTAGAAAGCAATGGATTTCTTGCTTCTGATACAAATTCCCCCAGCTCTAAGCCTCCCAACCCTCTAAATATTCCTTTATATGTGGTTCAGAGTTCTGGAACCATCCCCTGAGCCTGCTTGATTGGGTATTCTGTGTTGTTGCTGACAGAACTCCTTACTGCACTTCCACCCTATCCACCATCTTATTTGTTCTCAGGATCATTGACTCTTGATTATATGCTATCTCTTGAAATGGCTGAATATCATTCATTTTTTTTTTGGTACGGTGCCTCTGTTTATTCCTTCCATCTTCTCTTGATGTTTTCTGTATCATCTAATATTTTGTCCACAGAATCCTTCAATATTCAAGCAGAGGCTTGAATATTTTCTTCAGTTCTTTCTGCTTGAGAAATGTTGACTATGTTTTTCCCTGTTGTTTTTCTAACTCCAGGTCTTTGCATATTTCAATATAATATTTGACTTTGTCTTCTCAAGCTGCCCTTTGACATTTTCTGTTCAGCTCTTTTACCTCCTCATTTCTTCTACTTGCTTTAGCATCTCTATGCTGGAGAACAAATTTCAGAGTCTCTTCTGACATCTATTTTGGTCTTTTCTTTCTTTCTTGCCTTCTTAATGACCTTTTGCTTTCTTCCTGTATGATGTTCTTGATATCATCCCACAACTATTCTGGGTTTTGGTCATTAGTGTCTACCTGCATCAAGTCTGTACTTGAGATGGTCTGTAAATTCAGGTGGGATATGTTCAACGTCATATTTTGGCTCTGCGGACTTGCTTTAATTTTCTTCAGATTCATCTTGAAGTTGCAACTAAGCAATTGATGATCTGTTCCACACTCTGCCCTGGCCTTGTTTTGGTTGGTGATATGGAGCTTTTCCATTGTCTCTTCCCACTGATATAGTCAATTTGATTTCTGTGTATTCCATCTGGTGAGGTCCATGCATATAGTCTCGTATTTTCTGTTCCTTCATTAAATTTTACAAACACATATGTTTTAAAATTTATGTGCAGAAACTATAGTATAGAATGTTAACTAAATTTCTTAAATAATACCATTACCATTAGTTGTTTCATTTTAAAGAACATGATTTTATCTTTTCTAATATTTATATTAAATGTCTTTTTGTAAAAAGAATTTCCCTTAACATTCAAAAGAATAGTAATAACCAATATCCCTATTCTGTCATTGGCTTTTATATTTTTAATTAGTTTCTCTCCTTTCTATCTTTGGCTTTACTCTTCGCTTTTTAATTGGTTTAATTAATGAATGGACTTTACAAGTTTATTTAGAATAGTTTATAAACAGTTTGAAGTCTTGTCATACTTTTTCCTATGAAAATATATATCTAACTACTATCAAAATCTTAAAATAACTGTCTGTAAAATTTGAGAAATTTATTAGGAACACACTTGGGTACGAATTCTTACAAAAATATTAAGAAATGTTCTTAAATATATCCCTAGACCTACAGACAGAGAATTCACAAAGCATAAAATCATAGTAATTTTGGGCAGTGAATGACAAATTGAGGAATGTTAAAGAGCTATAAAGTAAACAGTACCTTGGATGTATACACAGATACTATGAGTCAGAGATTTAGTGTAGTATTTTGTCATTTATTTAATAATACATTTACCTGATTCACTTCATTGTATGAGTAACATCTTCATAAACAACTGCGGAGTTCTAAAAAGATGAGACTCTCCTTCATTATGTGACAGACTCATACCTGGCAAAGTAATATTTTTCAGATGAAGCACGAACAGTCAACTAGATTATTCTTGGATAAAGTATGTGTAGTTTGAGGGATACCAGTGTTCAAGTTCCTGAAGACATCCAAAAATGCAAGCAACAAAAATTTGGTTGATAAGTTGATCCTGATTTGTTAGTACTATTCTTTTCCCTTACACAAATTGCTCAATAGTTGGCAAATTCCAAAACTAGGTCTAAAAGTCAAACTTACATAGAAACGGAACTGTACAAACTCACTGATAGCACTTCCTTAAGACATTAATAATCAACTAGTTAAAGGATTTGTTGATGTACCAAGTACAATTTATATTATAGAGGCACTTAAGTAACAATATGCAACGATTTACAGTAATTAGCCTGCATAAGACTTATAACAGCAGAGAACAACATACCTGTTTAATGAAAGTATGCTCTTTGACTTGATATTTATTTGTAAAAATTAACCAAATTTGTTGAATCTTAAAATTGCTTTCTACTTTCTCTCTTTTGACTTACTCTGATGATTTCTTAAGCAAGAAAAGTCTCTTTTAAACAGGCTATAATAATGTTTCAGCTAACAAAAATAAAATTATAAAACATAATAAATATGTTAATGGAATCCTGGTATGGCACTGTAGGATAAGCACTGCAAGGTTGGCAGGTTCAAACCCATCAGCTGCTCCTTGGAAACCCTATATGAGGTTGATTTGAGTCTGAACAAACTTGAAGCGCTTACTAACAAAGGTAAAAGATTTCAGTATGGATTGCACCTCAACATAAAGAAAACAAAAATCCTCACAACTGACTAATAAGCAACATTATAATACAGATAAACGACTGAAGTTGTCAAGGATTTAATTCCACAATCAGTACCCATGGAAACAGCAGTCAAGGCTGGGCAAATCTCCTGCAAAAAAAAAAAAATAATAATAAAAATTGAGGACTAAGGTATGCCTGACCCAAGTCATAGAATTTTCAGTCACATCATATGAAAACTGGACCATCAAGGAATAAGCATGTGAAAGTTGAACAAGGAATAAATTAAGACTGAAGAAAAATCTATGTCTTCTCCTTATGGTGTTGGCGAAGAATATTGAATGTACTGTGGACTGCCAGAAGAATGAACAAGTCTATCTTGGAAGTATAGCCAGAATGTTCCTTGGATATGTACTTTGGACATGTTATCAAACACAGATTGTGAGGATGGTTCAGGACTAGGCAGTGTTTTGTCCTGTTGTACATGGGGTCGCTATGAGTCAGAAGGGAACTGTACAAAAACTATTGCTAAATATGCTTGTTTTTAAAAAGTGTATATACTTAAAACAATAGAGAACTCATGAATTTATCATCCCCAAGAGCCATGGAGATGTTTTCTGTTTTTTCCAAGTTTCAAGGAAGTACAACTAAATTGCCATGAAGCTCAAAGGTCTTTTCTTTATTGTTGTTTGGACAGTTCTGTGGTTCCTCTTAGTATTCCATTCTAGTTTCCACGTTCCTCTTCCCAGCCCTCTAGTCTTTCCTGTATGCTTCATTTCTTCAGTCTTTCAAAGTCCCAGGGAAAAAAGACACGTCGGTATTTTCAAACTTTCTCATAGCCACCGTTCTTTCTCATAGGTTCCATTCTACCCTCAGTCAACGCCACACCCGCGCTGCACCCTCACAGGATGCGGCCGGAAGCACCTGATGGTGGCGCCGAGCTGGGCGCCTGGGGCGCACACCTGGGGTGCACACCTGGGACGGGGGCCATCCCCCAACGGCCTCTCCCGTGCGGAGGAGGGAAGCCTGTCGACTCACCTTCCCTGCCCCCAGGCTGTGAATCCACAGAAGTGAGCAGCCCCGAGATGGGGCTGGGAGGCGGGGCACCAGGTAAGGTAGGCTGGTGCTCCGCCCCGTCGCGCTTCCAAAGAGCACAAGTCACTTTACTAGGTCGCAGCCTTCAATCAGGTTGGAAAGCTACTCAGCGAGGCTCTCCAAACGCAGACGTTGAGACGTTGCTCGTCTCAGGCCTCCCGCCGTCTGGCTGACCAGCGGGCTCCTTTGTGGGCACGCTCTCCAGTGATCTCGCGGCCCGCCCAGCGCCCCTCTCCTAGGCGCGCACAGCATGGTGCCCTCCCATATTCTAGCGTTTGGACTCCTGCTTGCGACGACTGCGGTGGTCACGGCTCAGGCAGGTGAGGAGCGGGTCTCTGAGCTGCTGTTCGTAAACGAGGGCAGCGGCCAGTGGCGCCTGCAAGGAGGAGAGTGGGGCTGGGGGCCGCACTTTCCCGCCTGAGTCCAGACAATGAGGGGATGCTCTGAAGATCTCAGTGCTCTAGAGGCGGCAGGAAGGCGCCAACTCGCGAGAGTTCAAGGGATCGGGCTCATTTTGTGACTTTAGACTCCTCTAGTCCATGGCACTAGGAAAATGACCGGGGCAGGGGCTGAGGGGCTGGCGGGGAATCGGATTGCCGTGTTCCGGGACGCTGCAGCCTGATGAAGCGGGAAGGGCCAGGGGCGGCCTCGAGGGCACCTCTAGCCGGCCTCGCCCACCGCATCTGGCCGGGATGGTCTTGGATTTCTGGCGGGGCCTAAACCTTCCTTGTCCTGAGAGTGGCTGTGATGGCGACCTGAGGCCCGTACCTCCGCGGGCACCTGCCGCGGGCCCCGGATGTGGGCCTGGGGAGGGAGCAGGTGGTGGAGGAAAGGCCGCCGGGGCCGCTGCGCACCTGTATGTGGAAACTGAACGCTGGGGTCTAAGCTGGGCGTGGGTGTTTTCCCTTTTTATTTCCCAGTTAAGTAATGCCAAGTTTATTGTAGGGAACTCATTCTAACTTTAGATGTAAAGAATAAAAAAAAACCATGATTCACATTCCTTCAAGAGAATCCTGTAGTTAATAGTTTTTTTCCAGAGATTGCCCTGATCCTAAACGCATACTTTTATATCATGTTCCCCTTCCCCCGAAAATGTGTCCAAAGGTCTCCCATTTCCTGAGTCTTTTTCTAAAAGCACGATTAAAATAGTGACGAAAGAATCTATAGCGTGTAAATCGAACATGTCGTTGGATTCAAGTTTTTAAATTTTGGAATAAATATCTTGACAGCACTGCTTGATTTATTTGTAAGATAAGTGCATAGAAGTAGAATGGCAATTAATTAAAAGTTTTCTAGAAAAGCTGTTCTATTTCCCACCAACAGGAGGTCTAATTCATAGCACCTTCAAAATAATGCTGTTTAATCAATAATGCTTTTCTTACTTTGTTGTTAAGTGCAGTTGAGTCGGTCCAACTCTTAACGATCCTATATAGTTTTCCAAAGAGCTGGTGGGTTTGAACCGCAGGCCTTTCTGGTTAGCAGTACAGTGCTTATCCTACAGCTCCACACCAGGACTCCAACTTTAGTCTGGTGCTAAATATTTATTTGAAATTGCTTTAAAATGGTTTTATCTTCTATAGGTAGGCTTAGGGGCTAAAAATATACTTTGAACAGAGCTACGTAGGATTTTTAATTCTGTGAGGGCTGCCGCTATAGCTTCTCCTTTTGTGATCCCCATATTGAGTTTAGTGCTGGGCAGATTGTAAGTGTTCATATTGATTATAACTTAAGAAGGGAAAAATTAAAACCAGTTTATAGAGTACTTGGAGTACAAAGTACAAGGATCATTGTATAAATTCTTTGGATTGTAATACTAGCTTTTGTTTTAAATCATGTTTTAATGACTTTGTTTTTAATGACCACTTAACTAGACAAATTAAAGGAATGTGGTAGGCTTGCAAGTTTGAAACTAAAATTAATTTATGAACTAGACAAAGATGTAGCTATTACGTTCACACCAGTGACACCAATTTAGGTTGTTTAGTATCACTGTCAAAAAACTAGGACTTAGTTTAGTTAAGAAACCCGCATGGAGAGATATCTCCAATTCTACAAAATATAGTCCAAAGGTTGAATATGTTTCCATTAAGCCAGGTAAATAAAAAATGTTGTTTTTAAGTGCTGTCCGGTCAGTTCCCACTCATAACAATCCGGTATAGGTTTTCCATGAAGCGACTGGTAAGTTTGAACCACCAACCGTGTGGTTCAAACCAACTTTGTGGTCCAGTGCTTTATCTCACAGCGCCACCCTAGGACTCCAAATAAAAAGTTGTTGTTAAGTGCCTTGAAGTCAGCCCAACTCATAGCGACCCTAGATAGGGTTCCCAAAGAGCTGCTGGTGAGCTTGAACCACTGACCTTGAGGTTCAAACCAACCTTGCAGTCCAGTGCATTAACCCACAGCGCCATACCAGGATTTTAAATAAAAAGTTGTCCCTTATTTAGAAAATGGGATGAGAGGAGGGAATGTGTACATTCTCTGATCCTAGAATTGAAATTTTTGATTTTGGGGAAGTGAGGCAGTGCTTGACAGGCAGGAGTTTACCTAGCAGAACAGGAGGTGAGAAGCTCTGAGACAGGGAGGCTTATAAAGACAAAGTTGTATACAAGCTATATTCATAATTTTAAAAAATTGAAGTATAGGAATTCATGCAAATTGAATTATATATCATGTATATAAACTGTTTGGCACAGTGTTTGGAACTTTGAAAGCACTCTATAATTATAACAAAACATTAAGGTTCAGAACTTTTTAAGGCTTTGTGCCCATTAATTTTTGCATTATTGTCAGAAATTAATTTAGTTGGAATATCAAAGTTAATAATTTCATCAGCATTTTAAGGTGCTTTTTTAAAAAAGTTTATTTCATTCTTTGTTGTTGACAATACATACAACAGAACATAGAACAATTTCTACATAAACCATTTAGTGACATTGATTAGATTCTTCAAATTATGCAATCATTCTCACCTTCCTTTTCCTTCCTTCATCCACTATTAGCATAAACTCACTTTCCCCAAAATTCCCTATGTAATCTTTGGAGTTTCTCTTTTCACTATGATCCTTCTCAAAAGAGCATGATTTGTCAGGCAACATTCTTTACTGGTTAAGCTAAACTACTGAGTGACTTTAATGAGACTTCAGGGAATATTGGGTAAAGTGTCTTGTGCTTTTTGTTTTTGTTTTTTTGTCCTCTAGAATGTATATGTGAAAAGTACAAGCTGACCACAAACTGCACTAAGAATACCAATGGTGATTGCCAGTGTACTTCAATTGGTACACAAAATACTGTCATTTGCTCTAAATGTGAGTAGAGTGTCTTCATTGTCTTTAAACTTTATTAGTGTCTTCATTGTCTTTAAACTTTATTTTGACGTAATCATTTTAAACTGCTTGACCTTGAATTGGGAAGAGTTTTACTGGCTCACATCTGAATCATATTATTGAACATACTGAAATTATCTCATGTCTGAAACTTCAGAAACTGGGTTGGGAGAACCTATTCATTTATAATAATCTTTGATCCTGGGAATATTTTGTTAGATTAATTTTTTCTTCTGTTAGCATAAAACTGCAATTGTTTTTCAGTCTAACACTTCGCTTTCTTTTTAGTGGCTGCCAAATGTTTGGTAATGAAGGCAGAAATGACAACCTCAAAGTCTGGAAGAAGAGTAAAACCTGAGGGGGCTATCCAGGACAATGACGGGCTTTATGACCCTGACTGTGATGAGAAGGGGCTCTTTAAAGCCAAGCAGTGCAATGGCACAGCCATGTGCTGGTGTGTGAACACTGCTGGAGTCAGAAGAACTGATAAGGACTCTGAAATAACATGCTCTGAACGCGTGAGGACCTTGTGAGTGGTGCTATCTATATTATTCTCTTTCACACTCTTCAGAATTGTTTAGTTAAATTAAATTTTTAAGTATGTTAATATGATTTCATGGTTTAGAATTTTAAAGACAAAAGATGAACAATGAAAAGTCTCCATCTCTTGCCAATCCCCAATTTCTCATTCTCTTCTTTGTTTGAAACAAAGAAAGAAAGTCAATGGTTCGAAATGTGACTTTGGTAATAGTTTACAGGAACAACAACTTATTCGTTGCAAATGCCATTTTTCAGCAACATAAATGGATACTAGACACTTGTGCCTTGCCAAATGGAATGTAAAGAAATAAATCCACTACATCTGTGGAAAGAGATGATGAAGAGGCTCAATATCTTCAATCAGAACAGTGCCAGCGTTTACTCACGCAAATTCAAATTGAAGCTGAAGAAAATTAAAACAAGTTCTTGAGAGTCGAAGATTACAAACCACCTGAATTTAGAGTCCATTTTAAGAATAGATTGATGTATTGAACATTAATGACCAAAGAGAAGTTGTGGGGATGACATCAAGAATATCATCAGACATAGAGACAGCAAAAAGTCATTAAAAAAGACAGGAAAAAAAGAAAAGCCAAAATGAATGTCAGAAGAGACTCTGAAACTTGCTTTTGAAATTAGAGTATCTAAAGCTACTGTAAGGAGCTCTGGTAGCATAGTGGTTATGAATTGGGCTGCGAACCTAAAGGTCAACAGTTCAAAACTATCAGCTGTTCCGTGGGGAAAGATGAGGCTTTCTGCTCCCATAAAGATTTACAGCCTTGGAAATCCTGTACAGGGTCACTATGAGTCAATTGCAACTCCACAGCACATAACCACCACCACCACCAAAGTTACTGTGGTGGTGGTAGTGTGCTGCGGAGTCAGTTCCAACTCATAAGCGACCCTGCATAGGGTTTCCAAGGCTGTAAATCTTTAAGGGAACAGAAAGCCTCATCTTACTCTCGCTAAAGCTACTGCAGAAATGATGAAGTAAAAACTGAACAGAAGATTTTAAAAGGTGGCTCAAGAAGATGAAGTAAAGTATTATAGTAAAATGTCTAAAGACTTGGAGTTATAAAGCCAAAAGGAAAAAACATGCTTAACATTTCTCAAACTAAATGAATTCAAGCCTTGAGTTGCAATACTGAGGGATTCTATGGGCCAAATATTGAATGATGCCTCAAAAGAGGATGGGAGGGATACACAGAGTCACTGAACCAAAAAAGAATTGAGCAACCATTTCAGGAGGCAGCATATGACCAAAAGTCTATGGTATTGAAGGAAGAAGTCCAAGCTACACTGAAAGCATTAGGGAAAAAAGGATTTGGGTGTTCACAGAATACCAGTTGAGATGTTTCAATAAACAGATGCAGTTGCTGGAGGTGGTCACTTGTCTATGCCAAGATATTTGGAAAACAGCTTTACCTCATCAGCCAACTGGAAGAGACCCATATTTGTACCCCTTCCAAAGAAAGGTGATGTAACAGAATGCAGAAATCGTCAAACAAGTTAATACCACATGCAAGTAAAATTTTGCTGAAGATAATTCAAAACGGGTTTCAACAGTACATTAACAGGTACCTGTCAGAAATTCAAGTCAGATTTAGAAGATGTTGTTGTTGTTGTTGTTCTTATGTGCCGTGACATCGGTTCTGACTCATAGCGACCCTGTGCAGGGTTTTCAAGGCTGTAAATCTTTACGGGAGCAGAAAGCAGAACAGCTGGCAGTTTTGAACTGCTGACTATAAGGTTCGCAGCCCAATTCGTAACCAAGAGGATGTAGAACGAGGTATGTCATTGCTGATGTCAGATGGATCTTGACTGAAGGCAGAAAATATCAGAAACATGTTCACCTATGTTACACTGACTGTGCAGAAGCATTTAACTGCGCAGATCCTAACATGGATAACATGGCAAAGAATGGGAATTCCAAAACACTTCATTATGATCCTGTCGCTAAGTGCCATCGAATATGTTCTGACCCATAGCAATCCTGTATAAGGTTTCTGAGGAACAGCTGGTGAGCTTGAACCACCAACCCTATGGTTCAAACCAGCTTTGCAGTCCAGTGCATTCACTCACAGCCCCACACCAGGTCTCCATTATACTCATGGGGAACTTGTATACAGAGCAAGGGACGACTTACTGGTGGTGGTAGTTATGTACCGTGGAGTTGGTTCCAACTCATAGGGACCCCAAATAGGGTTTCCAAGGCTGTAAACCTTTACAGGAGCAGAAAACCTTATCATTCTCCCACAGAACTGCTGACCTTGAGGTTAGTGGCCTGACTCAACCACTACACTACCAGAGCTCCTTAAGGGCCTACTATGTGGCTTTAAGAGTCCTGGTGTGGCCCTGTGGGCTAATGTATCAGACTACAAAGTCATTTGAACTTCAAAGTCGGTGGTTCAAGCTCATCAGCTGCTCCTTGGAAACCCTATACAGGGTCGCTATGGGTCAGAATCAACTCAACAGCACTTAACAACAACAACGTGTGGCTTTAAATCAAGAAAGGTGTAAGTCAGGGTTGTATCATTTCACCATACTTATTCAGTCTGTATGCTGAGCAAATAATCCAATAAATTGGACTGTGTGAAGAAGAGGAGTCCTGGTGTGACGCTGCAGTTTAATGTACTGGATTGCAATGTCTGTTTGAACTGCAAGGTCTGTGGTTCAAGCTCACTGGCCACTTCTCAGAAACCCTATACAGGGTCACTATGAGTCAGAACTGACTCGACGGCACTTAACAACAACAATATGAAGCACACAGGATCAAGATTAGAGCAAGATTTATTAGCAGTCTGCGATATGCAGATGCTTGTTGAAGGTGAAAAGGATTTAAAGTACTTACTGGTGAAGATGAAAGAAAACAACCTTCAGTATGAATTACACCTCAATGTAAAAAGCAAAAGAAAAAAACAACCAGTAAGCAATGTCATGATAAATGAAAAAAGGATTGACGTTGCTAAGGATTTTATTTTACATGACTCTATAGCCAGCACTCAAATGAGTCCTGGTGTGGCACTCTGGGTTAATACATTAGACTCAAAGTCGATTTGAACTATATAGTCAGCAGTTCAAGCTCACCAGTCACTCCTCAGACACCCTATACAGGGTGACTATAAATCGGAACTGACTTGACAGCACTTAACATCAACAACGCAATCAGCCCTCAGGGAAACAGCAGTCAAAAAAATCAAAGGAAGTATTAAATTGGACAGATTTGCTACAAAAGACCTCTTTAAAGTGTTAGATACACCTGGTATGTTCAGTAGCCTCCTAATGCATCTGAAAGCTGGATAATGAATAGACTCCCTAGTTTTTGTCCTACTGTAGGTTTGTGTTTGAATACAATTTCTGTATGTGGGTTGAGTTATGGGTGTTATTGTCTTGTATGTTAACCTTAAAATTGTTCACTATTGTTGGTTCTCTGTCCAATGAACTCCTTTTAGTATTTTTTATAAGGTTGATATGATATTTTTACAGATTTTTCTAATTTCTGTATATCTGGAAATGTCATATTTGATGGACAGTTTCACTGGGTATGTGATTATTGGTTGGCAATTTTTTCTTTCAGAATTTTATATATGTCATCCCCTTGTCATGCCTGAGAAATCAGAGCTTGGTCTGTTTTCCTTTGTAGGTTGGTTTTTCCAAGCCTCTCTAACCTGACTTTGGTTTTGGAGAATTCAATTTATTTATGATATGTCTTGGTGATTTTCCTTTGAGGTCTATCCTGTTTGGAGTTCATTCAACTTCTTGAATGCATATATTCTCATCTTTCATGATGTTAGGAAATTTTCTTCCAATAACTCTTCAGTAATTTTCTCTGGATGTTTTTGTTTCTTTCTGGTCTAGAATTCCAATCACATGTAAGTTATTCTTCTTGATAGTATGCTACATAAATCTTAGGTTTTCTTCAGATTCTTTTGTTCTTTTTTCT